GTGAGAGGCACAGTGGAGGTGGAGTTCAAAGAAGAATGAGAAATTTAATGGTTTCAATCTGCCCTTGTTTTTTCTTTTTCTTTTTCTTTTTGCATGTTATCACTGTGCCCGTTTTTTGCTTTTATTCTTTGTTCGGCAAAGTGCGCTCTTTTAGTTTGTAGTGATGTGACAATATATATATATCGTCATGTATATATTGTGACGATATATATATATTGTGACGATATATATATATATGATGTGACAATATATATATGAAACGGTATTCACCTGTGCGCAGTAGCAATTGCAGATCCCAGGGCTCAATCCCTAGACTTAACCTTACCTGTGTACATTACCTGTGTCGACCCCAAGAGTTGAACCCGCGACCTGTGTATTTGTAACAGTTGGTAGACTGTCGTAGGTAGTGGGGGTTCAATCTGTAGACCTGTCGGGTAGGAGTCTTAGCAAGGTCTAGAAGTCGTAGCTATAGCTTCTCCGAAAGGTCAAGGTCGTAGCTGCTACAGTATCGAAAGGCCAAATCCACGGCCTTCCGGAAGGTCCTAGTTGTGGCCTTTCGAAGTTGCTCACGTTTAGGCTGAGGCAAGTGGGCAAGTGGTGGAGTCTACCCGTGCTGAGTCAGCGGTCCCAGTCCCCATTCAGTCCTAGTCCAGTCAAGCAAGTACCGCATGGGACTGTGTGCACCACGGGCATGGGAAAGGGGCAGACCAACGAGATACAGAAGTATAAATCAAGAGGCAGCGCCCAGTTATTCATTCATTCCTGCGTAAGCCATGCGGAAGCGCTGCCATAAGCGACTTGTGCGAGGTGGTCTGCAGTGAGCCCAAAGACGAAGTGGGCAAGAAGGAGCTTAGCCATAGCGGTAGGGTAGCAGCGGCCATAGCCGCCATAGCTGACAGGAGAGAGTAGCGTGTATGTGTGTGCATGAGTGTACAGTGATGCGTGTGGGATATCCAGGGTGATCCTGTGTGTGTGTGAGCAGAGAGTTGTACAGGCGCTGTGCTGCCATAGCCATTTGAAGTGAACTTGTATCTGAACTCTGAACTGCGTTCTTGGTTACTATATCTCTGAGTTCTGATTGGGCGCTTGTCGCCAGTTTGCTGTGCAACCTGTTTGCATGCATATGAAGTGTGAATGAGAGCGAGTCTGTTACCAAATTTCACCTTTCGCTCTAAACTGTTCAAGCCAGCACTGGCTGCCGAAAACTGCAGCTCTACTCAAGTATACCTACTGCGATACTCCCCACTGCCGACCCCTGGACAGCCAGGGTTCAACCAAGGTGTACAACGACGAACTAAGCACAAATATCCCTTATGGAGAAACTGAGGCAAATTGACTGTTGATTCCCCAAGTTCGCAGCAACCAAATCGGGCCCTTTCTCTGCCAATCCGCCATAATCACCAGTGTAATCTGTGTTCTGATCAAGTTCTTCATCTTCTCCAGGTGAAAAGTTTTCAATGTTAAAAAGTGTATTGTTTCTCGCCTTCCAAATCACATTCATGACGAGTCCTCTACAAACCTGGGCAATATAGCCCCAGCACCCCAGACAGGTTCAAAACTTCGCACCGAATCACTGCAACCTGTTAGGATCCATGAATCAGTCCAGAGGAGCGAAAGCCTATTCACTGTTGACCAATGCTTCCTCCACCATTGCCACGCCTGGAGAGAAGCAGGACAACTGATCCATAGATGCAATGTCGTCTCCCAGGCCCACTTACACCGAGCACACGCCGGGGAAACATTCATTCCTTTCTGAGCAAGCCAAGACGCAGATGGGATGGACTGCATAGAGTGTAGCCACAGCAGACTAGCTGCCTTCTGGTCCGGTAGCTTTCTGTATTTCTGTCACAAAATGTGTCCAGATTCGGGCATTTAGTGCAATCCCCTTTGCTAGTGGGCCCTTGCCCTTACTGATAACAGAACCAGATCCAGTCTTCCGACCAATGATCCAACATATCCGAACATGTAAGGGCATACTCACGCACAGGTACTAAAAGTTTAAAAGAGCAAAATTTGGCACCTTCGGTAGGCCCAGTAGGCCATTTTGCTGGCTTGCGCAGTCACAAAGGGGTAGCAAATTGGAAAAGGCAATGCCTCAATGCCCTGCTGCCATTTGCGAAATTGCCCATGTTGCTCAATCACACAGGGGTAGCAAATTGGAAAAGACAATGCCTTAACGCCCTGCTGCCATTTGCAAAATTGCCCACTTGTGTGATCACACAGCGAAAGTCGTTGACGAAATCGCGCGATTCTCTTCTGCAAGCTCACAGATTCAATGGAAAAGAAAATTGCCAGCACCTCTAGAGGTGCTGTTAAAGTGCTCAACCCTGTGACCCTGCAGGCCGCTGACATTTGCCACACCACTCACCAACGTCAACTTTTGGTGAGCTGGGTCCTCACTCCGCCACTCACCATGGCTGTCATGTCAGCAGGTGTTTTTTTACCGTGGTAAGAGGGCCGTGTTGAGCAGTCACCACAGTCACCATTTTGTTACTGTGGGCCTGCAACAGTGGGGTTATAGTGCCTCCTACATGGTGCCAAACAAACAGTGGTGAGTAACTCTCACCATCCCGGCCAGCCTGGCCTTGTCTGGTGGCACTCACCCATATGGTAAGCAGTCAAGTTTGCCGAGTGGTTCTCTCGAAAAAAAAATATAAAAAAAAAAAGTTTGCCGAGTGGTGGAGCGACGGCGACCTTTTGCTGAAAAAAAGTTCCATGGTGAATGCTCACGGCCGCGGAAATGGAGTTTGGTGACTGGTGGAGCGCAAGGCCCAAAGTTTGTTTGTTTGTTTGTTTGTTTGTTTGTTTGTTTGTTTGTTTGTTTGTTTGTTTGCTTGCTTGTTTGTTTGTTTTCTTGTCCGCAAAGTCACTCCTACCATCCTCCCCTGAATGCAACGCACTTCATTTTGCTGCATCAGACCTGAAAGATAGCTTGTATGCATAGGTTATCAGGGTGTGTTGTGCTCGGGGGAAGACGGTAGTAACCGTGCGGTGTGTTTGCGTCAAGTTTTGGTTTCTTTAAGTTTTTTTTTCACCATCTGTGTCTTCTTTTTTCTTAATGTTTGTCATCCTTGCGCAGGGGCCATGCTAATCTTCCTTCTCTGTATCGTTCCAATTTTAAGGGATGTTACGAAGGACAGTTTTTTTTTTGCAGCTTCCATTTGCAGTCATCCCCTTTGTGTTTTGTTTTAACTTTTAACAGTGAAAACAGTCAGCAGATTATGTTATATCACCTAATCTGTTTTGTTTTAACTTTTAACAGTGAAAACAGTCAGCACATTATGTTATATCCGCTCAACAAGATTAGGGGATCTAAAAAAAAAAAAAAAA